CGGTTTGAAGTTCTTCCAGTTTTCACTGTAGAAATCGACTTGGAGCTGGTACCTCCCCATATATATGTATGTAGTGTATTTCACTACTCAAAAGAAACTGTGTGTTCCCTACAAGATTAGTGATAGGTGATTTCGACCATTCCACTCTCAGAACTGAGCCTGTGGAGATACGTTCGTTCATCTAGGATGAAGGGAATGAGTTGCCGTAGAAACACTTTCTATGCTTTCTCAATATATTTCCTCATGCCAGTTTGAATTTCATGCAGTTTTCACTCTAAAACCGAGTTGGAGCTAGTACCTCCTGATAGATATATATGTTGTGTAATTCCCAACTCAAAAGAAATTGTGTTTTCCAAAAAAGCTTGGTGATTGACGGCTTTCACACACACTTAAGTCTCAGAATAGAGCATTTTGAGATACGTTCGTTCATCTAGCATAAAGGGATTGGGTTGCAGTAGAAACACTTACTCTGGTTTCTCAGTTTCTTTCCTAGTACCAGTTTGAATTTCATGCAGTTTTCACTGTAAAGTTGACTTGGAAATATTACCTCCCCATATATATGTATATAGTGCATTTCCCCACTCAAAAGAAACTGTGTGTTCCCTACAAGGTAACGGATAGATGGCTTTTGCACACATTCAACTCTGAGAACTGAGCATGGAGAGAGGCTTTCGTTCATATAGGATGAAGGCAATGTGTTGCAGTAGAAACACTTTGCCTGGTTTCTCATTATTTTTCCTAGGTCCGGTTTGAAGTTATGAAGTTTTCACTTTAATACCAGGTTGGTGATAGTATCTAGCCATATAGATATAGTTTAGTTTCCAATTGAAAAGAAACTGTGTGTTCCCAACAAGTTAGTTGCTTGATGGCTTCCACACACATTCAACTTTCAGAATTGAACCGTGTAGAGCCGTTTGTTCATGTAGCATAAAGGGATTTTGTAACATTAGAAACACTTACTGTGATTTCTAAGTATGTTTCCTGGTGCCGGTTTGAAGTTCATGCAGTTTTCAGTGTAAAACCGTGTTGGAGCTACTACCTATCCATATATATATATATATGTAGATTAGTTCCACACTCTAAAGAAACTGTGTGTTCCCAATAAGATAGGTCATTGACCGATTACACACACATTCAACTCTCAGAATTGAGCATGAGGAGATGGGTTCGTTAATGTAGCATAAAGGGATTAAGGAGCCATAGAAACACTTAATGTAATTTCTCAGTATGTTTCTTAGTGCCAGTTTGAAGTTCATGCAGTTTTCTCTGTAAAACCGAGTTGTAGCTAGGACCTCCATATATATGTATGTTGTGTATTTTCCCACTGAAAAGAAACTGTGTGTTCCCAACAAGCTAGGTGATTGATGGCTTTCACACACATTCAACTGTCAGAATTGAGCATGTGAAGAGGAGTTCGTTCATCTAGCATAAATGGAATTTGAAAGCGATGATCATATCCTATGTTGGTAGGGAAACAGTAAAGGGAGCATTAATTTAGAGCCTTTATATTTATGGTCAGCATACATGACCGAATTTTATTTTCAGCAGTAGATTTCTTTTTTTTAAGGTTCAGAAAACTTAATTCTTTCTTGTAACTGGATATAGATAGTGAATGTCTTAAAGTCTTTGAGCAACTGCTTTAAAGTAGAAATGTTACTTTGCTTTTGGTCTTTAACCTAAGGGAATATCCAGAATTCCAGTGGCAGTACAAAAGCAAGTGCCTGAACTTTGCCTATTACATGATTTAAGTACAGTAAGAATATCTGTAGACTAGGGTACTGTGGATAACTGAAGGGCTGCTTGGATATGTTGTATGTAAGTTATATTTTCAAAAATTATTAGTATCATGAAAATCAATCAACCTTGGAGATCTATTTGGTATAATTTAATCTTTAATACTGTAGATTTAGATAGCACTTTTGTTTGTGTAACTCTTATGAAAATAAGTTTTATTTATATAACTCCTTTGTAGATAAATGATAAATTATTGGTTTTTTTATCATTTGCTTCTATAAAATAGGATATTAATTGCACAATATGTATTTTCCTTCAAGTTCATA